ATGTAAATTCAGTTCTCGACAAGCAGAGTTCTGACCCAGGAATTAGGTGCACATGCTTCAAGCAACTGGTTATCTTCGTCAATACCAACCATTCTTTGTAAATCAGCATTTACTTTTTCTTTTTCATGTGATCATTTTGGACAAGAAACTAAACACTCAAAAATTATTAATTACAGCCCATCCATGGTTGCCCCAAAAAAACCCATCTCTGAAATCCAGTTCAGCTCGTCCACGGTTGCTTTAATTTGTACTCAGATATTGATATCACCAAAATCTTTTGCTGAGATTCCTTGTAAATCGCATAAACGCTGCTCACAGTCAAGCTTGCCCCACCTTGCATCAACCCGCTCATAGGGGAATACTGGTTTATTAAGACTGTTGAGTTGAGAATCAGCAAGATGTCAAAACAAGTAAAGCTACAAGGGTAATTGCTTATTATGGTCCAAGTTTAAGGCCATGTCCAATTAACATCTGAAATTTGGGAAGGATTTAATTCGATATGTGGCCATCCAAACAGAGATAAATATGATTCAGAAAGCTTCTACAACTCAAATGAGAATAGTAAGTTTACCTTCTATTAACAACATTGTGCACGTGACATAACCATTGGGAAAACTGGTCATGAGATCCAGCCTGTACAGGATTTGCACTGCCAAGCATGTATGAAAGTTATCCATTAGTTCAAACCAAAAACAGATGCATACATCAGTATATATAAACACTAAAAAGAAATGGGATGTTTTGGAAGTAAAGATATAAAACAACAAATCTTTAAGTATTTTGTATTTTAAGGGAAATATTTACTCAACAAATGGGAATTTTTTGGGAGGTAGGAGGAACTATTAGAAATTATAATACCAATAATTGGGCCAGAACATGGCATTTTCCAAAATTATCTCCTTTCTTCTTACTTTTACCTTTAAATGCAATGGATTAGAACTTGCAGTATAAATATTGGGATTAGAAGTGATTATCGCATTACCTCATTCTCCATGCGTTCCAATAGAGAAATAGGTGGAAGAGGGTGAGTGTAGTTAACAACATACCTCAAAATTTCTTTAAAGTGATCAGCACATTCCTTGCAAGGGTACATCCGAGATAATATAGCCATCTGCATGCCAAACCTTGTTAATGGGTTTCAACAGTCCAGACAGACAACAATTTACTTCCACAATTCCAGCAATAGTTCTTCTCTTAATTGCTTATCTAAGTCAAAATCTAAACAACCAGCAACATAGTTGAAACTGTTCTTGAGTAGAGTTTCAAAATCTTTGTGTTGTTTGATGCAATCACAAGCAATGAAAACCGATTTGAAAATTGTTTTTTATATTACAGATGAAAGTAAGCTATGCACTGTCACTGAGCATGAAAGAGTATCATACCAGTTCTTTTACGTCCTTCCTTTGTTGCCTTGTTGGATTTTCTGGATACTGAAAAGGTTAAAAAACTACTTTAAATGATATACATAGGTCCTGTAATACATGTGTGCGACATGCAAGTTAGGTGATTTGGTGTGTGGATCACAATTAAGCAGCATTCTTAACCTTCATCTATAAATAATAGATAA